GCATGATTTACAGATCTAGTTTTCTTTTTCATTTTAAAAATAAAACAAAATAAAACCCGAAAGACTTCAGTACTTTTTGCTAAGGAATTTGCTTACAAACCAGAAAGTGACTACTACCACTAAAAAAAAAAAAGAAAGAAAGAAACTGCCTACTTGTAATTAATTGTTAAAACTACAATGCTCTACATCTTATTCTGGGAGGACTGTTTTTCTCTCACAGGAATAGATGATGAAACTGATACATTAATTTAAAACACCTCATTTAAAATGCTATTGCAGTACACAAGTATGTTATAACATCTTATGTTTCATAATAAAATTACTGAAACTGATGAAAATTTTAAAAAAACAGTTAACTAATGGGAAAGTGGTTATGACCTAATGAAATACTACCTTTGGAATCCTATTATACTGAAGAAATTTTACCTTCTCTATGAAACCACTCAATAGATATCAGTCTTAGAACTTATTCCTAAATTTTCCAATACATGATGTTAGCAAGAAATGGTGGAAAAGTAAAAATCAAAAATAAAGTAAAAGTTCTCAAAATTTGTCTAAAAGTTAATATATAGTACCTATGTTTGCTTTCATGAAATTTTCTTGAGATGTTTACCACAAATCATAAGAAAATATATTTCACAGAATAAAAATGTTCAATACAACCTTGAAAGCATTTAGTATACAAGAGTGTCTGAGCAGATCATAGTCATGTGACTGTACTAAATATCTTTCCACAAAATATGAAAATATGATTATTCACATAGGGCAAATAATACAAGATGACCTAAGATTATTATCTCAGAATTTCCAAATTACAATGGATAAATACAACTGTGGAATGAGTGGAACGGAATAAAGATTGATATAAAAATAAATGATATGATTTGATACGATAAATTAAAATTTCCATCTTATTTTTCACTTTTTTTTTTTTTCCTTTTTGTCTTTTTTCATGTCCGGCAACGGATCGCAACCCTCAGTGTTGCACCCGTACCGGACTGGGACCGGCAACGGGATCGCAACCCTTGGTGTTGAACCCTCAGTGTTGCACCTGTACCGGACCGGGACCGGCAACGGGATCGCAACCCTCGGTGTTGACCCCACACCTCGCTCAGCCAGTGAGCGGGAACCGGTCTGCATGTGGGATCCGAACCCTCTGCAGGAGCACCACCGCACTCTCAAGCGGCGCACTGTAGCAGTGTGCCACCGAGCCGGCCCCTATTTTTCACTTTTTAAGAACACTTCTTGTAGTATTATGTTTAATGCACTAAAAAAGGTAAAATACGAGTAGCACATTTTTCTAATTCAGGACTCCACTTTAAGGTTAAAGAAGAACCTCACAGGTTGTATTTTAATTGATTTAGGGCTAAATCATGTTTTAAAGGGCCCCCGGCTGATTGCAATATGTGATGGGGTCAATGACCAGTTTTCTAAACCCAAGTCCCAATGTGAATATACCTACAAAAATACCGAATAGGGGAATATCAAAATATTTATAAATACATAACTTCAATAAAAAAATGAGAAAATACAACTAGTTCATTAGGACAATCTGTATGAAACAATGTCCAAATTACTGCTCCCACAAATTTCCTTCCCCTACTACCTATTACCCCTAATTTTTTGTCCTTACCTTTATGAAATCCTGTTTCAGAAATGGGCAAGAAAAAAACCAAAAAAAAAAAAAAAGAATCTTTTCTATCCACAACCATCATAAAAATTTGTTACTACTCCCGTAGTCAGTAAGTTTCTGAAGTATATGTTTGAGATATATTTGAAATATCTCATGAAAAACATAAGCATTATATTTCTCCCTAAATAGCCCCTAAAATTTTCCACATTATAAGTACAATATAAAACACTGAACTTCAATTACTAAACCTCCTGTAAAGGAAAAATAATTCTGTATGGTTTACAGATAATGGACTCCCAGCACCTGAGATATAGATTTCACTTTCTGTGTCAAGATGTCTCAGATTCAGAAAATCACTTATACTGGTTATATATATGGATTGTACTTTGATAACTTAATGTACATTGAAAATATGCACAGTGATTTGTTGCTACAACATATGGTTTAGTAGTTATCTGTTTTAAAATGGGCCCTATGAGCAACTGGAGAAAGTAGAATAGTTCTACTTCAATCCTTAAAAATAATAAAAGCATAGCAACATTCTTAACTTATCAATCTTGAATTCATTTGGTATTTCTTTTAATTTCACCAACAATTCTGGAACTAATGTTTTATATTTTTCAAAATGCTTTGCCTCTCACTGTCCAGTAAGGTAGCCACTACTCATATGGCTACCAAGCACTCCTAATGTAGCTAGTCCAAACTGAGATGTGTTTTAAGTATAAAACACAAACCAGATTTCAAACTCTTGGCATAAAAAATGACTGTAAAATATCTTGCTCATTTTTATATTGATTAAATGCTAAAATAACATTTTGAATATACTGGGTTAAATAAAATACATTAAAATTTATTTCAATTGCTTTTTATTTTTTAAGTGTGACTACTAGAAAATTTATAATTACACATATGTGGTTAGTATTATATTTATATTGGACAGCAATGGCTTACCCTTCTACTGACTAACATATCTCCAAATAATATCTGATAATTCAATCACTAGCTATCACATCAACCTTGAAATCTTTCAGATTTCCTTTGTTTCTAATTAAATTATTCATTTAATTTTGTAGACATATGTGGTTAGTATTATATTTATATTGGACAGCAATGGCTTACCCTTCTACTGACTAACTTATCTCCAAATAATATCTGATAATTCAATCACTAGCTATCACATCAACCTTGAAATCTTTCAGATTTCCTTTGTTTCTAATTAAATTATTCTTTTAATTTTGTAATGAATTCTTAAAAAGTTTATATAGTGCTAGAAAATCATTAAGCTAAACATAAAGATCTGACCACTTCCCAGTTCTTTGGTTAAGATGGTATTCACTTCACTGGTAAAGACCAAAGAACTGATGTATTCAACAAAATATGGAAACACCTGTGATGCTGACAGAAAGTAGCTAGAAACCCAAGAATCTTGTTCACATCACAATAATTATCACAAAAATCCATCTCATTTTACAGCCACTCCCCACTGCCAAGAATATGTAAAAGAAACATTAAATAAAACCAGAAGTGTAACACAAAGAAATTCATGTAACAATAATGGACTTCATTATTTCCAATGAAAGAATATACACATTCCTGTTTGGTATAGAATATTCCCTGGAAGTTGTGGTCCCAGTGCCTCCGCCATGTCCTATTCAATTCATACTCTCCCCAATATCAGTAGCATATTAGCAAGTCACAAATCACCAAGTAGAGGTTGTTTGCTACATAACTAAAATCAAGATTGAAAGACTAAAAAGCTAAAGGGAGGAAAAACACGGAAAACAAAATGCTTATGAGAACAGCAACAAATGATGAAGTAGTAATGAGAGGGTGGCAGCTAAACAGAAAGCAGAATATTACCAGATTTGGAAACTCAAAAACAATGCAGCAGAAGCAACAGCAAATATCAGGATGTGGCTCACATAAGATGGGAAAAGCCAGGAAGAAACACACGCCCACACGCACGCACACATGCACGCACGCACACGTACACGCGCTATTTTGGAACATAAGTCAATAGAAAAATAATACATATTGAATCTGTTTTCTCAGTTGAAACAAAAGTCTCCAAATAAGGAGAGATACTAGTAAAATTTAACAAAACTATTTATGATACAGTATCTTTAAAGAATGTAAATATCTGAACCAACAGTAAATTTGAAACTCAATTTTCCACTACTACAGTCTTCAAAGTTGGAACTACATAATTATTATATAGTTATTCAAAACAAAACAGGAAAAGACTTACTGGGAAGTAGAACTAGTTTGAGAAGAAAAAACTCTCTTGGTAGAGCAGAAATAAATATCAAGGAAAATACTTAGACAAAGGTATATATAAGAATGTTTTAGTTTACTGCATATGTATTTAGAGAAATAGCTAAATTCCATGTGGCAATCGCTTTGTCTTTGGTGTAACTTGTCTTTAGAGAATATAATATATCTGGGTTTTATTTAGAGGAAACTAATTTTCACATAAGTAAAACAGATTTTTTTTAACTAACTTTACAATTCCAAAATTAGACGATCAAGATATTATTCTTATAAAAAGTCAAACTTTAATCATGAAGCCATTTAAATCATGAGACTTAAAACTACAAAATACTATTGTGACTAAGCACTTCTCTACCTTTTCCACATCTTACCATTTAAAAAAAAGAACACTTCAGAAAGTAACAATAAATCATTCTTAGCTACAGTATCTTCATTTTGTCATGTAGTTTCATTTCAATTCCACTTAAAAAGAACAGGAACTCATCCTTCAATGGCAGAATCCACACCACTTACAACAATCATGAGAAGAGTTCCCTTCACTTCCTGAAGATGAATAATAGAATTCTAAGATTTTTTTTTTTTAATGAAACTACTGAAACAGGTCCTAACTTGGAAAAATTTTTTTAAAAACCCACAAAATAGTTAGCAATTAATAAAAACATCAAAATAAGAAATTCCCCAGCATGAAAATTTCCCATCACAAATGTTGATACTTGTGTAGTTAAAAATATATGCAATAAATAATACCAAACAGATAAATATATTAGAGAGAAAAAAATGTTAGTTACTATATACCCAAAACTTTACTGATTGTTTAAGGCTGTACAGTTACTGAGGCACATAACTAAAAAATTTTTTAAGTATTTTCTAGATGGCATTTTTATGTCCCAACTTAGTTGAAATTCCAAATAAGATCACTTCAGGTCTAAGAAAAACAGCATTTTTAAAATAATGGCCAAAACACAGAAGTTAATATTACATCTAAGTCCTACCTGAGGATAGAAAACGTGTCTTCCCAAACCAAAGTTACACATACACCTTATTTTATGTAATTTCTCCAACAGCTTTTCTGTCAGCATCATTAAAATCACCCTACCTGTTTGGACCGAGGTCTACCAGGAGAAAATTTTCTTTTCGTAATAGCTGGTTTACCCATGCCAATTTTGGGAGTGACTGAGATGTACGTGGTTGGCATGATGCTTCCAGCAGAAGAACCAAGAGCTGAAGGGCAGCTGTGCAGCATGTCATGTGAAGGCAAGTCTGAAGAGCGGGTGGGAGAGGAAGACACATATGCCTTGCTCGTGTCTGCTGACGATGAAAACAATGAGTCTGTCTCAGATGATGATTTTATAGATTTGTCTCCTTGGCCTGAGTCATCTTTCATACAACTCTCAGTTGCAGGAGTCATTTCAAAGTTCATAAACCCAGTGGAAAATTCAGAATTTTCTTTCTGTTCCATTTCTTCTTGTACCCTTTCCATAACCAACTGTTCATTAGAATGTAACAGAGTTCTTTCCTCACGCGGGGACACTAAGGTTTCTGGTGGAACAGTGACAGAGTCTGTGGTTAATTTTGGAGGCCTTGATTCTTCTTTGGATACCACTGCTTTAGGATCCTCTAACAACTGCAGCTCCTCCTGCTGCACAATGAGCTGGTGTGCAGGGACCTCAATGTTTTCTGTCACTTCCATTTTGTCTTCATCTTGATCTTCATGACAAACATGCATCGCTTTAGAAGACATTTCCATTTTTTCACTCTTGACTTCATGAGAAATCTGAGTTTCCAATTCAGTGTTCATTTTATTTGGGGATGATTCTACAAAATTCAGAATATTTATGGTAATGTATATATTAATATAAAATTTTCTAACTATGAACACGTATAAAACATTTGCTTAAACCATGACTTAAATCAGAAGGTATTCACCAAGAAAGGCAATTATTATGTTAATAAAAGTCAAAATGCACAAGAGTTATGGATAAGAATCAGTCATGGACCAGAAAACCGTATGAAAGCATGGCCATGGTAGAATTCCCAGAGTTTAAGATAGTTTCTGGTAAGAATGCTAAAACACAATTAATTGCTAGTATAATTCTATTATACATATATGTTGTTTTACAATTTAAGCACTTATAAAAGGATTGGAAATTATGTAGGCAAAGTTATTATACTCATTTTACAGAGAGGAAAATGAGAATCAGTGAAAACTGGTCTAGAATGTAAAGATACTTTGCACTAGCAGACACCCAGATATAACAAAGCTTCCGTAGACTCAAATGAATAATGAACAGAGACAGAAAAGATTTACTAACCACCAAGACTTATTTTGCTTAGCTGTACCGGCCAACCTACACAAAACATTTTTTGGGTATAATCCTTATTCTTCCACAGTGTCTATAACCTAACAGACTAGCTTAGCAAGTCTATAAACTTAATTAGATATCAGATATATAGAGACACTCTGACTGGTAAATTCTAAATAAGGGTACTAGTGTATTAAACCTTTAATCCAATCTTAATTAAGAGTAAAGTTAGAGGTCCAACTGACATGAGACTTAAGTGGCTCTATAAAAGGCATTTACTATTTACCAATCAGTGACTAAAATTTATCTAAGTTCTGATATCAAAATGAAATCTCACTTCTCATTCCTGCTTTATTGAAAGACTATGGTTGAGGATAAAGGAAAAACATAAAATAACGTCTGACAGCACTAAAGATTTTTAAACAAAAAAACCCTTGTATAGAAAGACTAACCTCCTTTAGATCCATTGCCAATTCTTTTCAAGAAAAGAATCACTTAGATTTAGTTTACTGTAAGGTGTATATAGCAACTGCAAAAATGTCATTGGGATAATTTATTTGAAAAGTTAATTTAATAGACAACAACCTGAATCTGCATAGCAACCACTAAGGCATTATCTTGTAACTCAATCAAATTAGACAATATGAACCTATTGCTTACCAGAAATGAGAAGACCATCTGTGTCAAGGCTTTCTGGTGAATTACTCTTCTGTTGCTCTTCAGTGTGAACTTGAACTGCTACAAATAACACATTTACAGAATCTCTAGCAAGGAGTCAAAATTTCTTAACACTGCTCCCTCCACAGTAATTCATATAAGAGTTTTATCCTGCTACTAAATGTCAATTTCCAATACAAGCACAAAACACAATGTAACTATTTATTAGTAAGTAGGATACAAAGATGAAATTAGGAATTTGTTTAATGCACTATGATAAGCTGTATTATTGCCTTTCCTGTTTTTCTTCACTTTACATCTTTGTGAGTTATAATTTAAAAAAAAAAAAGATGACCGGTAAGGGGATCTTAACCCTTTACTTGGTGTTGTCAGCACCACGTTCTCCCAAGTGAGCTAACCAGCCATCCCTATATAGGGATCCGAACCCATGGCCTTGGTGTTATCAGCACCACACTCTCCCAAGTGAGCCAGCCCTGTGAGGTATAACTTTTTATATAGGGATCTGAACCCATGGCCTTGGTGTTATCAGCACCACACTCTCCCAAGTGAGCCAGCCCTGTGAGGTATAACTTTTAAGGAGAGTTGTTATATGTGAACTTAATAAATTTCAAAAGATCTCAGATGCTTTTTATGTATACACTCAAACTATATAATTTAACACACAACCTCATACATAATACCAAAAACGTTCAGTTGAGACTGCAATTAAATTTAATAAGTAGTTTTCCCCTAATTATGGTCTCTCCTTAGCTCCAGATCTTCAAGTACAGTAACAGCTATTATCAATACCACAAAAAGCTTAATTGAAATATCAATGAAATAACTTAAATAACCCTCAATAGGACCACTGAGACAATCTAATACAATAAATTTCATTATCTCAGCATGAAATACATAATTAGCAACAGTTCTAGTTAACAATTACAAGTAAAACTAAAAAGAGAAAAAAAAATTGCTTTTTAATGAAAATCACTTTATCCCCAAACGAAGTATGTACTAATGATTAAATTTAGATTACAGTTGAAGTAAAAATATACACATGCCCTTTCTCCTATTAATTTCTGCCTGAGATTATTTTACTAAAAATCTCCTTTCTAAACAATTTCCTAAGTGACTATATCTTGTCTAATTTTTATTCAGGATACTCAAGTTTTAGTAGATAGTCACATATTCATTGTTTATATATATTTTCTCCAAAAATACAGTATATCCATTATACAAACATTCTTACCATCTGGAACAATTCCAGGTGTGGACTCCTGACCATTGACATTTTTATTAACTGCTTGCTCCAGAAATACCATTTGGTCTTCAGGTCCTTCAACTTCCATTTCATTGTTATAATCTTAACAGAAAATTATTTATTCTTTAGCTCAGAATGAGTTTTTCTGTTTTTGTTAATTAAGTCAACAATTATGTTCTAGTGAGGGTAAATTATCACCAAAAATATTTTAAGTTTTTCTTCAAGTTTTTCTATTTTGAACCAAATATATATTTACATTAAAAAAAATGAAAATTATAATTTGTATTAAAAGGTAACTGGCATTTTATTATTTTAAAAGAATATTCCACAACTGTATACTGATGGCATCTTAAAAATGAAATATTAGCACTAAAGATTTTTAAACAAAAATGATTAAGATGGTTCTACTTAAACTCCTTGCAGATGACGAAATAAGACTTTTACGAAAATTGCTATAATGAAAGACATAAGCAGGTCTATTTTCTTTACCCTCTAAGAATCTTATTATAACAATAGGATGCTATTAGAAATATTCCATACCTAAAGAAAATTTTGGGACCCAGAGGTGATTAAATTTAAGAAGGATGTTACAAAACTAAAACCTGTTTAGAGCAAGATAACCCAGATTAAAAAGAACAACCTAGGTCACATGCCCAAAGGCTAAGGAACTTCCACTCTTGGCTTAACAAGCATGAGTGAAGAAAAGCACACTAGACCTGGAATTCAAACATTAAGAGAAATGTCTTAAAGAAGTTAGATTAGATTTTAGCCATCAGATTCAGAGTAGACCAAGATAACAAGTTCATTTAGAGGCTGAGAAATTGAGAATAAGATGGAATCTGATACAGAAGATTCCCTCATGATTAAAATAACATACTGGTGACTGAATGACACAGCACTGTTAAAAAACAAACATTCTCAAGTTTACCTGTGGTGAGCTCAGCCATCTCCACTTCATCACCTGGCTGCAATGGATCCATCTCAGCTCCTAAGTGTTTACAATACATGCAAATATACTCTTCTTTGAGCTGAGAATCCAGTTCATGATCTGTTGGTTTGTCACATTCTAAGTGAACCCATCTGCAGTAATAAGTATATTTAAATAAAGATTTCTAATTTAGAGTCAAGTTAACATCTAGGGAAAGGAGAGGCAATTGCTCAAAACTGGATATAAGAAGGGTTAAGGATGAGAAGTGAGAGGTTATAAGGGTTGGTAAGTGGCAAAGGTTTTTGAAAGGGTGTTAGCATTTGCAAATGTCATTAACTGTGCTGAAATATTTTTATTTCCACATTTTTAAGCTAATTCCTCCTTTTCCCTTTTAGGCTCATTTTGGGTCTAGTCTTACCTTTTGTCCATTCACTTTCATATGCCTTTCAGACCCATAAAAACAAAATTTAATTCCATCTATAACAGCACATAGTACTAAAGGGATTACTGAAGTGATAAAATTTTAGAAACTCAAAGATACACGGTAGAGCAAATGATCACAAGGATAAAATAACCAATAAAACAATTAAATGGAATAAACTATATCTTCTTACCTTTTGCACATATTACAATGAAGCATGTCTTTCTGCAATTCTGGATGGTAGCACTTCCCACAGAAAGGACATGAGTTGTCCTGCTGTTGGTAACAATTGTCACATATCAGGCAATTATGGTGCCACTGAGAACTAGAACGTGTGCCACACTCTACACATATTCTGCAATTCTAAACACCAGGGAAAATAAAAACAAAAACAGTTTGTTACGCATTTATAATTGCAATTCTGATGGAAACTTTTTGAAACCAATGAATCATTTGTGGATTATACATTAAGCTTTAATGTCTGATGTGACCTAAAATTTGCACTAAATCCTCCAGGAAAATGTTAATAGGGGATGGAACATCCAGGAAAACATAAATGTGGAAGAAAGAAAACCAAGATCATAGCAATCCAAACTTCAAAAAAGAACCGTATTCCAGAATGAGGAAGTAACTTTTGTGGAATATGTCTACTCAACCCACTATGGCAAAAAGCAAAATGGGGCTGCTACAGAATTCCATTTGCTTCTTGGTAGCTTCAGAACTAAAAACAAGAACTCTCACTGAAGAAACAGCATGACCCACACCATATGACTTGGTGCTTGAGACTGTGAAAATAATCATTCCACATCAAAATCCAATGACAACCCCTTCTATATTCAGGATAGAGAGTGGCCCCAGCTGTAGCAAAGTGGAACTGTTCATGAAGTGCAGGGCCAGCCAAAACCTCTTCTGAGCCTACAAGCTGGCCAGCGTTAAAATCCTGGGCACACCAGGGCTGATGATAAATCGTAGGGTTCGCATTAACCACTCCAACTTTCCAATCAAAAACACTAATAAAAAGAACTTTTTTTTGAGCTGCTGGGTTGATATGAAAGGGATGCTTACTCAAAAAGAGAAACTACCAGGAAGCACTGATCTGCTAATCTTACAGATTTAAAATGGATACACTTAAAAATACTGATGCAAAAATCGTAAATAAAATATTGTCAAACAGACTCCATTAGCACATTAAGAAAGTAATAAACTGTATCCAAGTGTGGTTTACACAAGAAATGCAGAGAAAACTGAATATTAGAAAAATTTATTAATAAAGTTTAACACATTAATAGGCCTGAGAAGAAAAGATAAATTACTTCAACAAATGCTTAAAAAGCCTTCAGAAAAAATCAAAACCCTTTCCTAACAAAAACTCTTGAGAAAACAAAAATAGACGGGTATCTCTCTAATGTGATAAACACACATACTTCCATTCTAAGGGCAACATCTTGTTTTATGGCAGAACCCTAGAGGCATCTGCATCAAGGCCAGGAATAAAGCAAGGATGCCTACTGTCTCCACTTCTATATAACATGGTTCTGGAGCCAATGAACACAGAAACAAATGAAAACAGAGGCAAAACACTAGTAAAAGAAGAAATAAAATTCTTTTTGCAAATGACAAGAAGGTATACTTGGAAAATCCTAAAGACTTGATCATAAATTCAATAAAAGAATTCAACAAAGCAGCAGGGTATAACACTAGCATACAAAGGTTCATAGAATTCACATACACAAATTATAACCAGCTAAAAGATACAATGAATGAGAAAACCCCATTTATAACATCAACAAAATAAGTAAGATATCAAGGATAAACTTAAGAAATGATCAAAATCTATATGAAAAAAATTGTAAAACACTCCCCAAAGACACAAAACTAGAACTGAGCAAATGCCAAGACCTCTCTTGCTCTTAGTTAGGATGTCTTAACATCATCAAGATTTCAGTTCTCCCTAAATCAATTAATAATTTAATGTGATTCCAATAGAATTTCCAGTGAGGTTTCTAATAAATGTAGATAAGGTGATCCTAAAGTTCATATGGAAAAATAAACACACAAGAACAGCAAAGAAACGTGTGAAAAAGAAACTCTCTGAAGGGGGCCTAACATTATCAGATCCTACAAAGCCTCTGTAATTAAAACAGTACGGTATTGGTATGTCAACAGACAGATCAATGAAATGGAAAAGAATTTCCGGAAATAAACCCAACCAAATCTAAACTCTAGTCTTGAATCTCAAGTCAATGGGAAAGACAGTCCTTTTAATGAATGGTTTTTGGAAAAATGAACAGCCAATTAGAAAAAAGATACACCATACACAAGCATCACTCAAAATGGATTAGAGATCTAAAAGTAAAATATGAAACAATCCAAACACTAGAAGAAACTGATCTTTTCTATAAACTCAGTGTAGGGAAAGGCTTTCTGATTATGACTCAAAAATCCAGAAGCAACAGAAAACTGATGGATCTGACTACATAAACTTTGTGTACTGCAAAAAATAGCATAAGCAATGTCAAAATGCAAATGACAAAGTGGAAGAAAATAATTTGTATCATATACCACAGATAAAGGCCTAATTTATAAAGAACTTTTAAATCGGGTGGAAAAAACACCAAAATCTTCACTAACAGACAAAACACATGAAAAAACCATAAAGAGATTAAAAACTGACCCCTAAACATATGACAAAATGATCAACTTTACCCATAAGACAACTTAAAATTAAAACTACATTTACCCATAAGAAAGGCAACATTTAAAAGCTGAACAAAATACCCTACTGGCAAAGAAGTAGGAAAAGAAGTTATCTCATACACTGCTGGTGGCAATGCCAAGTGCCACGAGTACCATGAAAGGGAATTTGACAATATCTGACAAAACTACATATTCATCTACCCCCTGACAGTAATCCTACTTCTAGAAATTTATCCTGTAGATTCATTACCAACAACTGAAAAACATATATGCACAAAGTTATAGAATGCAGGATCACTTGTAATGCAAAATATCAAAAACTACTCAAATATCCCAGCATAGGACATTGGTTGAGTAAATACAGATACATAGTGGAATACTATGCAGCTATTAAAAATTGAGGAAGATCTCTGTGAACTGATATGAAGTGTTTTTCAGATTTTATTACACAAAAAAAGAAACATGCAAAAAAGCATATACAGTATATTATCTTCAGTGTAAGAAAGGGAGAGTGAAAGAACACAAATATATCTGTGTATCCTTAGAAAAAAAATACAGAAGGACAAACCAGAAAACAATGAAGTTAGTGACAAGAGGTTGGGGAAATGGGGAACAGGTGATAAACAGGAGGGAGTGACAAATCTCAGTAGAACTTTTTATATAACTTTGGCCTTTGAAAGTATGTTAATGTCGTATATGTTTTATAAATTAAATCAGTAAGAAAAGAAAGGGGAATAAAACCTATTATCGAGAGCAAAGAAGGAGATTTTCTTACTGAACTGAGCAACTGAGTACATGCTGATTTTGCTGGGACCCAGGATTCTTACTATCGTAATGTCGTATATGTTTTATAAATTAAATCAGTAAGAAAAGAAAGGGGAATAAAACCTATTACCGAGAGCAAAGAAGGAGATTTTCTTACTGAACTGAGCAACTGAGTACATGCTGATTTTGCTGGGACCCAGGATTCTTACTATCAAAGAATAAATATGCAAGAATGGGAAAAGGCAAAGAACTCAGCGGGGAAGGATCAGAACTGGAGGTATTCTAAACTATGTATACAGTTTAGTATATGGATACTTATGTGTGAATGTGTATGTGTGTGTTTGTGTGTTTACGTATATATATGCATGGATTTCTTAGCCCCACCTGCTGAAAGGGTGAAGAGGCAAACACCCCCCCAGTAGCAATGAACACACCTAGTACTCAATCCTAACTAGAAGAACCTTTTATTGAAAAGTGTACTGATTCCAGGGTTCAAGAAGGGAAGTTAAGAGATGAGTTTGGAACATCTGGTTATACCAAAAAGTAATAAAGAGTTCAAATAAATAATGAAGGCATTACACAGGAACATAGGAGCCAGCTTGAAGGAGCAACTAATGGCAAATATGGGACAATCTGAGCACAAAAATAATTAGATAGAGTAATGAATTATAAATTATTGAAAATAATAGGAAATCGTGAGTCAAAATCAATAATAAATAATTTAAACATGTGGAAGAAAGGAGGGTTCCTACATAGCACAGAATGCAGAGGGCTGACTGGTAAATGTGGAGGGAGTGCTAGCATTGAAAAAGCATCATTTTGCAACGAACAGGTCAAAATGTATCAGGTAATGGTTCCTGAAGCCTAGGAATAAATTTTGAGAAGCAGCAAGATATCCACATGGTCTTAAACTGTCTCCTCACATGCTGCCTTATTAGATTACAAGGGAGGAAAAAAGCCCAGAGAAATTTGGCCACAGTCTGACCAGGAGATCCCTGAGGGACAGACAAGCATCGTGTGCAGCCAGCTGTGACAACACAAGGACACATCTTCACTTAGGCAGATTCTGGCCAATAATGCATAACTCTAAATCTGATCATGAGGGAATATCAGAAAAAATGAGGAAAGTTCTATTTGGAAAAGCTGTGACAACACAAGGACACATCTTCACTTAGGCAGATTCTGGCCAATAATGCATAACTCTCAATCTGATCATGAGGGAATATCAGAAAAAATGAGGAAAGTTCTATTTGGAAAAAACAACAACAACAAAAATACAGGTATGTGGAAAAGAACTCTATTCTTCAAAAATGTCAATATCAAAAAGACAAAGATGGGCTCAGGAAATTTTCGAGATTAAAGGAGACAAAAGAGACGTGACAACTACATGGAAAACCTAACCCTAGACTAGATACTGAAACCTCCTGGGGGTGGGGAAGGAGATATGAATAGTAGATTACATGAAAATGTACTATGTAAATTTATGAAGTTGATAACAGTACTGTGATTATGTAAGAATATCTGTATTATTAGAAAACACACACTCAAATATTTAGGGGTAAAGGGGCACAGTGTACATAACTTACCTTGAATGGAGGGGGGGCAGGAGATAGATTAATAGAAACACAAACATGCACTGAATGAGAGAGGACATGCACAATGATAATAAAATGCTAACAATAAGTAAATCTAGGTAAATGACATAGTTATTATTTTTATTTTTTCCAACTTTCAAAGTTTGAAATTATTTCCCTATAAAAACTTCCTAAAAATAGATAATATACTAACACACAGGCATTCTTGGGACAGAAATAGGGAAAAGAAACCTACCTGAGAATGACCTTTGCATACAACAAAGATCCTAAAAAGACCACCCTTGCTCCAACCCCACCAGGGAGTAG